AGAGAAAGATAAATATCACATGATCTCACTCATATGTGGAATATAATGAACAACATAAACTGATAAACAAAAATAGATCCAGAGACACAGATGCATCAAACAGACCTTCAAACCTCAGAGGGAAGGCAGGAGAGGGTAAGAGATCAACCAAAAGATGGGTATGCATGCATACAGGCATAACCAGAGTCAGAGACAGTAGGGGGATGAGGGCCCGTACTTAGGGGAGAAACGGGGGAGGGGGGGGAGGGAGGGGGGGAAAGAGAGGTCGATGGAGAGAAAAGGACACATATGTAATACTTTCAATAATAAAAAAATTTAAATAAAAAATACTCTATCCATGACACGTAGAGTATAATAACTGTTCTTTCAATAGCTAGATACCACAGAAACTATGAAATGTAAAGGTTGACAGATTTTTAGTAAATTTGGATCACATTTACCTATTATTCCTTTAAATAATATAATCAACACATTTGTTAAAAAATAGAAAACTACAAGAACAGAAATTGGAATCTTAGCAAAATTATAATTTTTCATAATCTCACTTAATTCTAAGTTTCACAACTTGGTGAAAGTTAAGGACTTTCCATTCCACACTAAAAGTTCATCCTTTATCAGGTAGTAACAGTAATTTATTTCAGATCTGTAGTTAATAAAAAGGTCTCTGGCATAAATGTGAAAAATGTTAGTTTTTTAATAAATATAGGAGAATTCCATTAAATATATAAAACATTTATTTTATACTCTAAATTGTCATCATTAGCACTGATGTTAAAAATTTTAATGTTAAAAATTAGAGAAAAACACCTAGTCTAAGCTTGTACTTTGAATTCAATAATATGAAGGCTATCTATTTAGTTTTTTTGTACTATAATATTGAGAAAATATATGGTTTTTCATTTTAGAATTTTCTTTCTCAGAGAATGAAACACTTGGAAGCAAGAATAGAAAAGTTTGATGGGACAAAATGGAGATCACTTTATTGAAACTCAGAAGAAATTCGAATAAGCAGATCTGCAAAATCCTAGGGGATCATGTTATAATAGATAAATGTTTATTAGACAGAAAGGCAGCAAAATGTATTTGTGAAATACCAGAGTTAAAACAATTTTCTAAACATAATAATAATTAAAATCCATGGAGAAGCATATTGCCCTCTGACTTTTTTTTTCTTTTGTCCAAACTATAGGGAATCTTAAAAAATCCCAGGAAAACTGACTGAGCTAAATCACAGATATATACCAAATTCTCAAAAGATTAGAAATATGTAGATCTATAAGATTAAAATTTTAGTATAAAAGATAGGGTAAAACTTAATTGGTGGTTTAGGAGAAAAGCATTACCACAACCTAAAAGTGATAAAGTTACTAATTCATAAAAAATATAGCTCAGCTAGTATATTTTATAAAGTATAGACTTGTACAGAAATCTATCAAAACAGTATTTGGGGAAACTTTACAACTTGATTTCTGAGTTCTATGGTGAGATTATTAAGCACGTCTGTTAAAAACATGCAAAACAAATATTTCTCTTTTCTTCATGGTAATAGCACATTAGAAAAGCTGATATAGTTTTAAAATTGCATATAGTTGTGTGTTTTTTTTATCACTATACAACAATACTACAGGATCTCTAGCATTTTCAGTGGTTTACAATTCATAAATATATATTAGTTAGGGCCATTCAGTGTAATCAAAGACATACCCAAATTTGGCATAGATGATGATGGGAGGAAATGAAAGAAAAAGAAACAGCTCTTTCATATACTCTGATAAGAGCATTTCTGCATTTTATAATAAAATCTGGTAAAATATTTAAAACTAAAAGAAAAAAATCTTACTTTATTTAGGTATAAATGTTTCTAAAATTTGATATTGCAGTTTACCTAATGAAAATAAACTTAAGAAAATAAAAAATAAACTTCAAAAACACTGCAGTTATCCAATGCTCCATCCACTACTAAGTGGTGAGAAACACCCTAGGCACAACAAAATTAACACTATTCAAATCACATTCCTTGTTTCAGGAAGCTATTTCCAAATTTACAATCTGGAATAAGTGCAAAGAATACATGTTTGCAATAGAACAAGTAAGTTATTGGCTAACAACAGTAAAGCCCTAAGTGATTTCCATGGGGGCTTTACAGTATTATTAGGTATAATTTAGTTATAAGTAAATAGATAATTGAGTTTATAGCTGTTTTTAAACTAAAGATAATTTTGTAAATACATGATTGGTACAATAAGACTGTGTTACTTCTGTGTTTGAAACTGGTAATAATCAGGACTTTGCTTTGAAAGCCTATCATCTTGGATCTTATTTTCAAAAATTCAATCTGATGTTAAAAGATATGTCATAACTTGGGTTTCAGACTTTGGTGTTTCAAAAATACTTCATTGTGTAATTATAGCTATTTAAGGTAGATAAGGCAAATAAATGGTAGCTGTATTTTGGAAATGTAATTGAAAAATGCAGTTGTCCAGAAGTATTTGTGGGTATGATATCTCTGAAAAGCTGCTCAAAGCTACAGAGTTTGAAGTTAAATTTTTGATGTTGTCACTCTCAATCTATTGAATGGCTGACAGACAATCAAACCCTTCTGGCTGGCTGGCAGCTCATTTTGCCTGGCAGGTGGCAAACAATTAGACACACCAATTTGTGCCTCCTGATGACATTAAAGCATGAAACTAAGTTGTATGCAGGGCCTAGTGATTTGTGTGAAAGCATTTCAAAAATAATACTCTTTGCCGTGGCAACTCATTTCAGACTGCCACCTCCCATTATGGCTTTGAGCAGTGAAGACGACAGACTTGAGTTACAGGCAGTGCGAGGCCGCTTCTGTTCAATCCTTCATCTCGCCCCCTGAGACCTCAATCCCTCCTTTCATCAATATCACCTCATCATTTACATTTGATAGTACTTGAACTATTGCATATATTAACTACACTGGAGACCCTTTTCCTAAAAAGAATTAAAAATATGCTTTGTGCACCTCAATTTTATTTCTACTTAGAATTATGATTACCCTCCCATTGCATTTTACACAAAAGCTACCAAGAACAAATCAAAAGGTTCTATTTTTTAAAAGCAATATTCCCAAAATATAATAAATTTTGAGTAGCTAAGAATATTGGCACTCAAGTGATTGCTTTGTTAAGATTTATTGGAGGGGGGGGGGGAATCCATTCTAACAATAATCCAAACTTACACAAAAATGTCTTACTCTTTATTTCACTAGATTCTCTTATGCAAATTACCATAATTCTCTGTATTTATTGTTTTTTATTTTAACAAAATTTAAATATGTAACTTAAAATTAAATGGAGCACAAACTTTCATTACCTTAAGGTGTCGTAACATTTATTTATAGAACTATAAATTAAACATATTTACATGCATATTTATATGCACTCATAAAAACACATATACCCAGACATCCCATGAACATAAACCAAATAGGTGAGATAGAGGACATAAATATGAAATGGCATAGGGACATCCAAGAAACCACATGAATGAACATCCAAATATTAACAAACTATTTTTAAAAGAAATATTTTTCTACATTTATTGACCTCTCTTTTTTATATTTTTTTATTTTTGACACTTAGCACATTTTATATGAAAATTATTTGCAAACATTTTTATCTCCTTTGTTCAAAATTATTTGCAAGCATTTTATCTCCTCTAATTACATAATAGACAAAAGATTTAATTCATCTTTATATACTAACATAATGACCAGTGCCATTTATATTTTCAAATAGATTTTTAAGAATAATCTGTAGAACACTGGTTAAAATGTGTAAGGACAAAGAAAAAGATAATCCTCACCCTTAAACACCAAAAAAATTACTGTTTCTAATTTATACAAGGCAGTCTGACTTTTTAGATATTATATTTTAACTATATATTTATTTTGGCATTACAGATTAAGAAACATTTTATTTCCTAACTTGATTCTTTATAGAAAAAAAAAATAAGAAAGAAAAAAAAAGAAAAAAAAAAGAGTTGCTTGTCAATCACTTCACACACATAATTTTTTTGGGAAAATGTGTTCTGAACATTCAGAAGGTTAAAAAAAAGTATATAAGCATAATTTGGAATATGTATCAATCCCAGTATCAAAGTTAAGTAATATTGTTAGAATTAATGACTATTCTAAAGTAATTTTCTAATGCTGCACATTTTTAAATAGTAGAATGTATTATATGAGCATATTCTTGGATTCTAAAATATTCTATTCTTCTGTGGCAAGTATAATGGAACAAAAAACAAAATTCTTGGTTCTCAACTAAAAGTTCCTTGTACAATTAATATCTGAATACAAACAGATAAATGGGGATTGTTATAAATTATTTAGAACCCTAAAACACCTTTCAGCAATATTTACTTTCAAATGTCTTTCAGCAATAGTTACTTTCTAATACTTGCTTCAAAATATGGCTTTTTGCATGGATAATGTAAATTCCAAGAGGAAGATGATCAAACATTTAATTTTTCCCATATATCTGCATTTAAAACTCAAATTATTTATTACTTAAGGCAGGCTGCTTAATATCCAACAATTATTATAGTTTTCATTAATAATATAATGGAATTTTAGAGCCAGAGTAAATCTTGAAAAAAATCTGGCCTTCCCCATTTATATCCATTAACAAATTAAGTCTAAAAAGATAAAATGACTTCTCCAATGTAGTATAGTCACTTGATTATGATCAGAATAATCAGATGGTTGATTATTATCAGAATCTAAGTTTCTCTATTTCTAATTGAATGTGATATCCTCCATATCATATTGAAACCCCTTTTTTAGAGATATCTTATTAAAATGCCATATTGAGATCAATCAAGTTGGTCTGTCACTTAGATATTATTTGTAGTAAGAATCCATATTAATAAATCTAATGTTTTTAAGACCTCCTACTATTTTTAAATTAACAGACTACAATTTTCCTTACATATATACAGCACTGTAAGTAATTAGTTTAAGTACCTACCTGTCAAAAGAATGAAACTGCATAGGAAGAATAGCTTGCGCTTCTCTTTTCAATGCTGGATCTGGATATGGAATAGGATCAGGGCCACATTCTGCAATTTCAACTGGAGCAGCCACAAGGCTTTTCAATATTTCCTTGACATTAATGCCTTTGGTTTGACTAATGCTAGATATGGATGGTGCAGGCTTCAAAATTTCACTAGGATTCTCAGTTAAGCTTTCTTGTGATTTTTTCACTTCAGAGGACAAAGTGGATAACAGTTCACTCATGGCATCAGGGCCTGCACTAGGCTCTAATTCTGCCCCATTCAAGATGCTAACCACATGTTCCTCTCCAATTCCTGAATCTGTATGAGGAATGGAACTTTCTAGCTGAATATCTTCACCAGGGGTTGGTGTTTCTTTTTCCTTTACAGTGTCTGAAAATGCAGCAGGTGTTTCTGTAATGAAAGGAAATGCTTTCAATAAAAACTCAGTAATTGGAAACCCAGTAATATTAATAAGTTATCTTCACATAATAGAGAAAATAAAACCTGTAATAAACAAAAAGTCTGCCATCTCGATGTGCAGGACAGCTGGGTTAAAACATATTCATATATATTTATATTTGTTTAGTAATCATCAACAGAACCCTGTTCCTATTATAAATCATTTGGCATTTCAAAACAGATGCCATTAAGAATAAAGTTCCCATACAATTTTTCATAACAGCTCATAAATAATTATTATCTGAAGTCACCCTTTTATCATTTTGTTAGCAAAAAATACTGAAGAGATTTTTTGTACTTCTCTAATATTGTCCTTAAAATGTTATTTTTATAACTTTTGTCATAATTCAATAATCAGTGTCTAATTAAAACATTTAAACTGGTTGAAGATATTTTAAAGTTCCAAGAACATAATACATAAAATTCAAAAGAGTTAAGTGAAAAAATCATGTCAAATGACTAATTCAAAATAATAGTTCAATCAGAAAATGATGTTCTTCAAGGATTTAGCCTACATGTGCCTTTCTTCAATAATAATTATTTTAGAGTACTTATTTCTAGTGAATAAATATAAACTTAAATTTATGAAAACTTAATTAGAAAAATATAGATATAAGATACACATGTAACATTACCAATTAAAATGGATAAAAAGAAAAATACCTTTAAACTATTAAATTCACATTAAGTCTCATTATACAAATGTTAATATAATAAACTTCTCCATATGGTAGAGGCTTATGTAACACTTTCAACAATAAAGATAAAAAATGAAACCATAGCGAACACACACAAATAAATAGTTATAAAATTATAAATGATGACCTTAAAAAGTTCATTTGCAGAAACTGGTTTGGCTAGTGGATAGAGCATCAGCCTGCGAGCTGAAAGGTCCCAGGTTCAATTCCTGTCAAGGGCATGTATCTTGGTTGCGGGCACATCCCCAATGGGGGAAGGGGGTGCAGAAGGCAGCTGATCAATGATTCTCTCTCATCGATGTTTCTAACTCTCTATCCCTCTCTCTTTCTCTGTAAAAAAAATAATATATATGTATATTTTTTAAAAGTTTATCTAATCTAGAATATGATGGAGATAATAACAGATCTTAATTTTATAAAGGCATGATAAAGAAGAAAATATGATACTGCATGAAAATTATTTGCAATTCCTCCTTAGATTCTTAGTAAATGTTAGCTAGTTAGAAATAATGTCTTCATATTATTCAATACTAGAGGCCCAGTGCACAAAATTCGCGCACGGGTGGGGGAGTGTCCCTTAGACAGCGTGCACCCTTTCCAATCTAGGACCCCCTGCCCAAGGGATGTCCAACTGTCCATTTAGACCCGATCCCGGTCGGTCTGCCATCCCTCTCACAATACAAGACTGCTGGCTCCCAACAGCTCACCTACCTGCCTTCCTGATTGCCCCTAACTGCTTCGGCCTGGCAGCCTGATCACCCTCTAACCACTCCCCTGCCAGCCTGATTGATGTCTAACTGCTCCCCTGCCGGCCCATTTGCCCCCAAATTCCCTTCTCTGCCAGCCTGGTCATCCCTAACTGCCCTCCCTTGCAATATTGATCACTCACAACTGCCCTCCCTTGCAGGCTCGGTCTCTCTCAACTGCCCTCCCTTGCAGACCTGGTGCCTCCTAACGACTCTCCCCTAATGGCAATCTTGTGGTGGCCATCTTGTATCCACATGGGGGCAGGATCTTTAACCACATAGGGGCAGCCATCTTGTATGTTGGAGTGATGGTCAATCTGCATATTACTCTTTTATTAGATAAGATAGAGGCCTGGTGCATGGGTGGGGACCAGCTGGTTTGCCATGAAGGGTGTCCCAGATCAGGGTGGGGGTTCCCTTGGAGTGTGGGATGGCCTGGACGAGGGGCTTATGGTGATTTGCAGGCCAGCCATGCCCCCCAGTGACCCAAGTGGAGGCCCTGGTATCTGGAATTTATTTACCTTCTACAATTGAAACTTTGTAGCCTGGAGAAGAGCCAAGCCTCCTGCTCTTCTGTGGCCCATAGCTATTTCTGTTTGGTTTTATGTATCTTCTATAATTGAAACTTTGTAGCCTTAAGTGGAGGCCTAGTCTGGCCAGGGTATGTGGAAAGATTGGCTTCCTCTATTGCCGGAGAAACCCAAGCTTCTCGACTGTTCTCTGTGGCTGCAGCCATCTTGGTTGGGGTTAATTTGCATGCTCACTCTGAATGGCTTGTGAGCGTGGCTTGAGCGAAGTGATGGTTAATTCAAATATTACTTTTATTAGGTAGGATTCCTAATATATAATATTTAGTTAAATTCATTAAAATAATCATCTCTCATAGTTCAGTGTTATATTATGCTCTTCCTAATATTTATTACATAGATTTTAGTTTTGCATGTTTATTTGATTTTAAAATTGAAATAAAATATTAATTAGTGTAACATGATACTAAATTTAAAAAGTGGATAACCAATACGAAAAGCATGATAAATCTATTCTATGATGATCCCAAGACTAAGAATTAAAATAACTTCACAAAAGTTTTGAGACGACAAACTATTTCAGTAATACTACAAACAAAGCACTACAGAAAGAATAAGATAAGAGATAAAGGTAACAGTTGGGATTTTTTTTATAAAATCTTGTAAAAGAAGATTAAGACATAATACCATTAGGAATAAACAGGAAGGAAAAGAATCAAGATGTTTATGGAATATCTGGCTTAATAAAAAAGAAGCATAGTGCTCTGCCACTAATTGAGGAAGAAAGCAAAGGAGGAGTATATTTGATAGAAAAATAATTAATTGGATTTTTTAATCAATTAAGTCTTCATAATCTATGGGATATTTATATCTGCAGGTCAAGGTAAGTATAGACATATATTTTGGGAACATTTAAACTGAGGTGCTAATCAAAACTTTGGAAGTTTCATAATAACCTTAGAGATACAAAATGAGAAGATATTGAAGGCATTTTTTCCACTATCAGTGATACTACTCAATTTTTTTTAGTACATGGGCATCTACAGATAATACATTTTTGGAGAGAAAACAAAAAGAACTAAGTAATAGTATTAGTATTTTTGTGACAATAGGACTGAGAATGTAAATGCAGAAACAAAATAATACTAACATCAAGAAAAGATAAGTATCATGGTTACTAGAATGGGCCAACTTTTCCTACAGAATTTAATTATCAAAAGATGTATAATCAAGTCTACCACTTCACCTGAATTTAACCAATTACAAATTTGGCCTACATTTACCCTAACGTGGTGTCTCAATGTCTTTACTTAAGATGTTTTTTACATCAACAGGTATGGGAACATTGTAAATGTTTCAAGTTTTAATAATATGAAGTATAAACATTTTGCTAGCAAACAAATATCAAAGGAAATAAAAAATTTTAATTTGGTATCTACAGGGGCCATATACAATATTTATTTTTAAATATAATTTTTTGCTTTTTCTATTCAAATGACTCTCAATGGACAATTAAAATCCATAACTCATGCTTGGCCAGTGTGGCTCAGTGGACTGAGTATCATTCCAAGCAACAAGAGGTCACCGGTTCAATTCCAGGTCAGCACATGCCAGGATGGCTAGCTCGATCCCCAGTAGGGGGCATGCAAGAGGCACCCAATTGATGTTTCATTCTCATGGATGTTTCTATCTTTCTCCCCTTCCTTTCCTCTGTAGCTAAAAATTAATAAAAACAAATTTTAAAAAAATATATAACTCATTAACTAGTTACTTAAAACTCAAAAAACCCAAAAACAATGAAAAGTTTATAAAAATGAACATTATTAAACTTTCAAATGAATCATCAAAATATTTACACAGTGTGGCTCAGTGTTTGAGCGCTAATCTATGCACCAAGAGGTTACTGGTTTGATTGCTGGTCTGGATACATGCCTGAGTTGTGAGTTTGATCCCTGATGAGTGGCCTGCAGGAGGGAGCCAATTGATATTCTCTCTCAGGGATGTTTCTTTCTCTCTCTCCTTTTCCCTTCCTCTCTCTCTCGAAAATATAAATAAAATTAAAAAACCAATAACAATGTTAAAAAATAAAATAAATATTTACATGGTAATAAAAACCTTAGTTTTATTTTTACTGAAACTGGTGAAAAAATATTTCAAAAATGAAGCAAGCAGTAAATTTAATATTTCAACAAAAATCCTATTGAAATAAATATGTTTTGTAAAGTATATCCTGTGTTCATGTTACATGGAAACAAAAATTGACACCAATGAAAATTTTTATAATAGCAATTCATTTTAAAAATAAATCATAGTCAAAATATTAATTTCCCATTATGTATTAACATGTTTTACATAAGATGCTCTTAGTTGATAGCATAAATATCAGCTTAGATAACTTACATGTTTTATTGTGACACTCTCATCAGTTCATCCTATATAATAAAAGCATAATACGCTAAGTGTCTGAATGAATGGCTGGACATTTGGTTGACCGCTGACCAGTCATTATGATGTGCACTGACCACCAGGGGGCAGCTGCTCCAACTAGTATGTTAGCTTGCTGCTGGGTCCGGCCAATCAGGACTGGACAAGAGGGCCAGTCATGCCCTGGAGCCCTTCCACAGCCCCTCCCTAGCCAGCCAACCTCCTGTAGTCCCTCCCCAGCTGGCCAGCCCCCATTGGCCCCAATCAGAACTGGGTGAGATGGTCCTAAATGGTCCCATTGCTGGCCAGGCTGAGGGACCCCACACATGCATGAATGCATGCACCAGGCTTCTAATATAACAATAATGCAGAAACATTACTAGCCTAAGTGATTTTAACCTCCTAGGAAATAGGCAGTTGGAAGCCAGGTGCCTCTTCTTTTTTTACTGTGTTTCATTAAGTTTAGTTGAGATCATCTAATAAACTTGAAGAAAATTATGGGATTAAGTCTAGCAAATAACATGATTTCTGCATAGAGATCATGTTTATAACATTCC